CAGAAAGAGTGTGACAGTATCTAACAGCCACAGGGGGAAAAAAGGAGTTAACTGTTTTGTGAAGCCGTTAGGTTGCATGCTCCTATGTAGGCCTTTCATCTTCATTCCTTTTCTTTTTTCTTCTCCAGCAAACGACGCTTTTGCTGTGATCAGTGTGGAAACCGGTTTCCCACCAAGTCGAAACTGGAGCGACACTTGAATCGGCACCACAAACTGCAGTGTCTGCTGTGCTCTCCGTCCTCGGAGGCTGGTCCCGATAACGTGGTACCTCCGCATGCGATATTCGAAAATTTTTCGAAACTGCGGCAGCATATGGCCACTTGCCATCCAAAACCAGGTTTGTGCCCCGTTTCTGGGCCTAAAACTTGAAGAAAATGCAACCAACTACTAAATAGTGAACAGGAAATGGCAACTTGTCTCGTATTTCTATAAAATATTTTTTAAATTTATAAGGTTACTGAGAAATGCCTAAGTAGGTATATTTTACCGAATGTAGTCTTTGTAGGCGACCGAAGGAAGTGCATCAGAAAGTCTGCATTCTGACGTGACTTCTTCGGAGTACGCTGCATGCTAATCGATGTTGTAAACCCAGCCTAGTAATTCTTTCTAATGGGAAGCAATTTTCATGTTTTTGATTACCGTATTTTCCGCACTATAGGGCACACTAGATTATAAGGCACACTGTCAATGAATGGTCTATTTTCGAACTTTTTCTTATATGAAACGCACCGGTGCATTAAAAACCGTCAGATAAATCAGTCAGTCAAACTTCATTGAGCAAAAGTGACTTGTAAGGCCATCAAAATATCGATTCCCCCGCCTAACTGTCTAACGTAGTTTGTGGTCAAACATTTACTTCTTGGCTAGTGAGTGTAAATGATTATTTAATTGTGGCGGATGCGGTCAAAGAAGTATTACATATAATAAGATTATGTTTGTTTTAATATACGAAAATAGGATAAAATTCCATCAACCTGAACTCCGATTGCGCAAGATACGGATGCCAATTGAGGGAAATTCGACCTTATGTAGGCGGAATTTAACGAAATTGGAAATTCGACCTATCGGTGGAATTTGAAGAAAGTAAAAGTCGGGATACTTAAAATCTTAAAGTAGTTTTAAAAAAATGATAAATCGACAAAATGTAAGGCCTGCCCTTCATTGCACGTGTTAACAGTAATTACCACTGTTGCTCAAACGTTCATGAGCATATTCACGACAATTCCCAATCGTGTTCAGTTGTAACACATAAAAAACGCAGTCTGATGCCGCCAAATCAGACGTTAGCGTATTCACAATACGACTCAGAACTGTTTAGTTATAACACGTAAAATACAACACAATACGCTCACTTTTCCAGTTTATTCCTCGGCCGTAAATCCCTCAAATTCTTCATCTTCGGTTTGCCAGTTGAACAGTTGGGTCATTATGGCATCCACCATGTGCGGATCACTCTGGCCATTATCCGAATCTGTGTCGTTGCTCTTACTTAGAAGGTCACTGACTATTCCGGCCTTTGTGAAAGCCCGGATCACAAAAAATGAGACCGATACGTAAACCCAGGCATCCACCATCCATTGGCAGATAGTGACGCAAATCGCTCGGCGACGTCTTAGTGAATCTGTGTTCGTCTTCTGACATCTACTGCTCCCCTGCGGCTCGCGTTCACGTTCGAATGAAAAAGTACCGTATTTTTCGCACTATAGGACGCAGTGAATTATAAGGCGCGCTGTCAATGGCTGGTCTATTTTCGTACTAGACTATAAGGCGCATTTATGGCAGCAAAACAGTCAGATAAGTAAGTCAGGCAGTCGTTTGGGGATGGCGAGATCACATCTCTTCTTAAACCGAAAGCACCACGAAGAACGGCTTCGAAAGTCATTACTATGCATGTCCCGTGCTAATGTTGTTGCGTTCATTCAAATAGAGACTGTAGAGACGTTTTCTACCTACTGCTCTGCTATGACCCGTCTGGAACACGTAATTAGCACGAACTATAAGCTTACCCGACCGTTGTACCCAAAGCCCGCACGGGCTAGGAAGAGGAGTCAATCGGCCACGAGGGAAGTGTGTTAACACAAGGCAACTCACTGTCACAAAAAAGGCTACTTGTATTTATTCAGTCCACTTGATGAGAAAGCGTCGGCGACAATAGACCAATTAGATAGGACGGGAAATCGATATTCACGGTGCGCGCACTCATGGCAGCGGCGTGACAAGTGCTCATGAGCCTATCTGCGAGATGAGTCAACGTGGGAATGGGAGCATCCCTAGCCTGCTCTCTGTTCCATTTTATCCTCCAACTGTGGCCATGTCACTTTGTTCTGTTGAAAAGTCAACTTTGTCTTCTTTGCTTGACGTAGGTCATCTTCTTGCTTCCTCCACTTCCGTACCATTGCTGCATTAATGTTTAATTCTCTCGTGGCTGCGCTATTCCCATGTTCTACTGCGTAACTTATAGCCTTCTGTTTGAAGTCCGCGTCGTAAGCGCTTCTCTTTCGACAGGGGCCATTTTGGGGCCCATACGCACACACTCTGCTGTGTTAGTTCGACCGTCGATTTCGATGAAGTCCACCATGTGCTCAGGAGCAGGGACGGTGACTGTCTACCGCACTCTAACACTCTCCCCGCTTGAACCGGGGACAAGACCAAAGTCAAAATAACCGAGCAGGAATCGGGCGTAAGCCGCTTTCCCTAACGCAGCCAGAAACACCGCCTAACTTTGTCTTCAGTGACAGTAGACCTTGCGCGGGTACTACTGCAACTGCCTACCCTCACTCACCTATAGTAGGTGTCGAGCCATACTCTAGAAATCCAGAGCTGATACTGCTACTGCTATTTCTAATAATATCAACTAGGATGTAGCTGAGTCAGCACTGGGCTCATATCCCCTCAATCTCAACAAGAAGTGTAGTAGTACTGATAGTAACACTGACGCTACTATTTGTTAGAGCTGACCCTGATTAAGCCAACGCTGGGGCTCGTACCCCCTTGATCACAACAAGGAATGTGAATCTGTGTTTAACTTATTCCTGATTACGGCAGAGCTTGCCTTGGTTTCCACCCTCTCAACTCTATCCATCAGGCTGTGTTCGTTTGTACTCCGTTCGGACTACGATACTACTGCTAGAAGTACGTGCCTATGCTAAGGTGCTAATTGTAGTTATCATGCTTACTAAGGCCAGTAAATAGTATATTTTAATACGGCCTATGTGTGCTTTTTAAGAAGTCGGCACTCAGTATGCACCCCCAATCCGTACGAGGTAAAGTGATTAACTAATGAGTTAAACAAAACGTTATAAAATAATAGCACAAGTCCCACCATGCCCTTTTGTCATAAAATTTGCCGTCTATAGACTACACATAAGCCTACTACAGTATCTATCTGTAGCTTGGACTTTACAGAACGCTTACTCATATCTCCTCGATCCCAGCAGGGAGTGTGAACCTGGGTTTATGCTATTCCGAGTAAATACATGTTTGGGGCCCGGAACCCAGCAGAGCTTGCCTTGGTTTCCGCCCTCTCACCTCTGTCCACCAAAAGCTGTGTGACATTTTACTAAGTTTAGGCTAGGATACTGCTGCTAGAAGTATATGCTACTGCTAAGAGCGTTAATTATAGTAATTATACTAAGACCAGCGGATAATACAGGGTGTCCCAGAAGTAACTGACCCTTTTGATTTGCCAATAAAACGGAAACTATTAACGCTAGGATATTGAAACTTGTTTTACTCGAAAGAAAAACCTTTTTTTATTTTTTATTAGAACTAGGTTTTGAATATAACTTCTTTTAAATGATGGCCATGGTTGTTTAGACAACTTAGGGTTCGTTTCTTTGTCGTTTCCATAACGCTCCTTA